CTAAATATTTCATGTTTTAATTGGCTTCTCAGGCAGATATCTTAGAGTCTATAAGCCACATTCACTTAATCTTGTATTGATTCTCTAAGATGCTTCCTGATACTATAACTAACCTAATCAATTAACTTCTTGTAAGTAGCAAGACAATTTTCTCTTTGTCTTTTCTTTCCAATGAAGCTTGAATACTTTATTACCACGAAAGTATCTCATGTTGCCTCTTATCTATCAAGGTACAACATTGTGTCAATAAAAATGTCTAATGTCTTTCATTAAAAAAAAAGTTTGGTCTATGGCCATGCCACCCTGAACAAGCCCGATCCCACCTGATCTCGGAAGCTAAACAGGTTCGGGCCTGGTTAGTACTTGGATGGGAGACAACCTAGGAAGACCAGGTGCTGTAGGCGTAAAAAATAAAAAACAAGAGATTATAAGCTGACAAGGTCCTTGCAATCTGTGAGGTCAACCAAGGGCTGCCCCTCCTAAAAAAAAAAAAAAAAAAAAAAAATAAGTTCGAATATTCTGCACACAGAAAGCATATAGAATTGCTTCAAACCAATATTAGGAGTGGCTTACAAATTTGGGGTTGTGTTGATATAAGTTCTCTTTAACTAGCAGAAAAGCACCTTTTCCTTGGTCTTCATCATGGGAGGCTTGCCATCACTCAAGGAAGAAGAAAATGGTTCTGACACTTGGTATCAAAACAAGTGCAAGTCCACAGGTCAGCCATTTATGACTTCTTTAGTTAACATTGTTTTGTTTATCTCAATAAACAAATGTCACTTGTATTAAAATGTGAGGATTTGGCATGAGGGAGAGAAGTTACTCTAAACTGAGCCTATGCACTTTTTCTTAGGCCCAGACCTAGAAACAAAAGAAACAATAAGATTCAAGAAAGACATTGTTGGAGTCAGCCAACTTGGACTCAAGCCTTGATGTCAGTTGAGAACATTCCAGTGTCAAATTCTCTGAAATTTCATTTCCTGTTCTACAAAATGAGATCAATACAATTATCTCCAGGGCAGTTTGGGGGTTCTCTAGATCTAACCCCTCCTTTCTTTGATCCGAGTCCATTTTTCTACCTGAGAGATCTTCCCAAAGCAGAAGAGAGACAAGGTCACTTTCCTATCCCACACTTCTCCCTGTCTAGTAAACGCAGGCCAAACCACACAGCATGCAATTTTCCATCTCATGGAGCCAAGGCTCATCCTGCTTTTCCCAGCTCATCTCTGGTCATTTCAATTCACTTCTCATTTTAACCACATCAAAACAAATTTATCACATACTTTCAACCCTATATAGCTGTATGTTTGTTCAAAGTACCTCCACTAAAGGTTCCCTGCCCAAAATGCTCTTCCCATCTTTGTTCACTTAGCAAACTAATGCTCAACTCTCAAGGTTAAGGGTAGCTCCACAATCGTCACCTTTCCAACGGTGCCTGGAGCTTCTCCCAAAAGAAAGAAAGAGTAATTTTCACTAGGCGAAACAATCTCATTTTTTTGTTTGACTTTTAACATGAAAAAATATTTTATTTGTCATCTAACATGAAAATATCTACATGTTATTTAACCACACAGTGAAATGTTTTTTTAAAAAATGCAATCTGTATATTTACAATCTGAGCACTAAAAGCAAATATATTATTTAGAGTCCCAAAATCAATCAACTTTAAGTCTTTACAGTCTAGGTAGTCACTGAATTGTGAGAAAACAAGCACACATGCAGAAAAATATGGCACTTGAAAAATTAGTTCATGTACATCAATTACTTGAGCATTGATAACACCTATCAATTCTAATATAAATCTTTAAAATTGATATAAATGAGTAGAATGAGATTCAAACAAGTTCAAGAATTTGCCCAAGTATTTGATATATGACAGAACTGTCATTCAAACTCAGGTCTGTCTGCTTATAAAGCCCATTCTATTTCTACTCTTCCACATTGTCTCTCTATTCGCCTCATACTGTGATCATGGGTGGATCGTCTAGCAATGGTCTATGTGTCTTTATTCAAGGTATCAAGTGCTATCTCTAGCCAGTCACTCAAAATACTTTTTTGCTTGAGGACAAAGAGGGCTGGTGTGTGCAGATAGAGAGGTTATGAAGAAGAGAGAGGGGCTTCTTCAAAACATAGTTACAATCCATTAATAATGCATACAATTAAAGTAAGTTTCCTCTCTGGCACCAAACCCATGGGTAGCCTTTCTTATATGTGGTTCAACTCCCTAAACTATTTTTTATGTTTTTCTAAATAAAAGTAACATACTATAGCAGAATTGTGAGCTGATATAAATCATCACTGAGTTATTAAAAATATTCTCACCTCCTAATTTCCTTGAATTGGTTAATTGGAGTGATTTATTATTGTGGTGGTGTTGGTGGTCATGGTGATGGTGGTAGTTGTGTTTAGTGACCTAAAATTGTGTATATATCTTTAATTTGAACATTTTATGGTCTTATGTCAATCTCAAACATGTTTATTCATGCTCTGCAAGAAAAATATATCAATGCACAATAATGTTTCTCATAGCAAATGCAAAATAAACAGACTTGACTAGAAAATTGAGAAAATGAACTTCAATATAAAATTAAATATGTAATCATGTATGCTATAATAGAACATTTTTAGCACATCTTATAATGCCATTCAGAATTATCATCATTTTTGGATATAGATAAAGACATAGACATAGACACAGATGTAGAGCATTTAAAAAATAAATTTGAACCAGAGAAAACATTGAATTTAAAGGTTAATAACATGTCAAATTTATTGGCAGGAAGAGCTCCCTTATTTTAACTGGCTTCCAAACTGGCAACCAATGAGGAATCAACCCTGCTTACTCAGTATAGGTCCTGGAAGAAAGTAAGTAAAGGGAATTTAGACGTTATGGAGAATAGAGATAAGAAAGACAGAATAGGTCCTGCAGGGTAGAGGACCATTTCCCTCTCTAACTTAAGCACGGTGGTTAAATCTGACTGTAGCTCTTGTCACGCTAACACTTAGCACTTAAAGAAGTTTGCATGGTGGTCAGGGATAATGGAGAAGCTCCCAAACATGTCTGAATTGTCAGCTTTTTCTCCTGCAATGACTTCTCATATTACTACTAAATGTCTACATACAATGTTGTAAGTTGGCAAATAGCAAGGCACTAAGTCTATCCTTAAGGTGTTTTTTTTTTGTTTTTTTCTTTTTCAGTTTCTCAGGAATAATATGAGTTCTACAGTCCTTCATGCAGCTAAAGCCCTTGTCTAGCCCTGGTGCAAAGAGAAGACACAAGTTAAATAGTGATAATAATTCTAAAAAACTAGGTTATTGTTTTGTGTTAAATAACCTGGTTGGTGGCAACCAATTTTCTTTACAAAATAAAAGACATTTATTACACTGCTGGCATTAGGACAGAATTAGGAATGATTCTACATGATATACACTTTTCTAAACATGTGTTATCCTGTGCCCTCTCCCTCTCCCAAACCCCTGTGGATTTTTTTAAGGTGATGTTTAAGATAAGACAGAAGCACGGATGACTCACCAAGAGCAAGACGGGAAACCTGCATGGGGAAAAGCCTATGCAGAGAAATAGAATCAGAATGTCTTATTCACTCCAGAGTCAAAACTCAAAGTGTGAATTCAATTTAGTTAAGATGTGCTGCCACCTGGAGAAGTGGCTCATTTTTAGGAAGTAATCAGCCATCAACTAAGAAACCTACAGATACAGTCAGAAATTACTACGGAGCAGAGATCTGGATAATTTTGGTTTATTTAACATTAAAAATAAAGTCTAACCTCTTGGTCTAATGAACAACATATGTGTCTCTATTTGTCTAAGCATTCACATCAAGGCAGCCACACACATCTGTAGTCTTTCTTGTCATAATTTCATTCATGGCATATAAATTTTAAAAAAAAAATGTCCAGCCCAGCTACATAAATTTGCATAACATTCTCAAGGAAGCATAGACTTTTCTGAATAAAGAAATGTTGTTTCCAACTATCATTATGTGTATGGATGTGTACCTGTGTGATTAAAAGAGTTCTCTAGCTTTCATCTCTTCCTTGCAATTTGTGAATAAATGACAAAGATATAATTAGTTATTTTAAAGCAAGTGATATTTTCAATGGTAACTGAAAAAAAGTAACTGTTGACTTGCAAACTTATGAAATGCATGTTGAACATACAGAGAATAACACTACTCGAGTTCATTTAAAAATCTTTATAAATTTTTTAAATTTATTCCATAAATATCATATATAATGTATCATGAACCAAAGTAAAGACAGAGCAGAAGAAGGACATCCTAAAAGCTAAAAAGAAATTATCAGTAATTTCTTTATGGCATGTCACTAAATAACTGATTTTCCAGCCAGTTATGCCATTCACTGGAAGATGCACCATTCCTATAGAAATTCTATGTGATAGCATTTCTACCAAAAAAAAAGAACAACAAAAAAAAGAACGAAAATTCCCAACTAAGTCTAGAAAAGTAATTCCAAACAGTGATTCTGTATTTTAGAGATCAAAATGCATATTGACTGACTTTCCAACAGTTTTTTAAGGCAACATGAAGACATTGTCCATCATGTCCCAAATTCACCAGGTTAAATGATATAATGAAGGAAACCTTTAACTAATTAACTAATACACACATAAAAGGAAAAAGAAACAAAAATAAGCCTAAATAGCTAACAATTAAAATCCAAAAGACGTTGCTTGTTCTGATTATCAAGATAAATGATCTCAGCTTATCACCCATATTTATGTTTAGGCATAGTGAAGGCTTGTGCCAAGTATCACAAATTTTCACCAATGAAAAGGCTCACATCCTTCATCTTTTCTTCTAAAATCCTTTGTCCAGTTAATATGTTAATGTTTGTGCTTGAAAATTATATTTAAAAATTTTTATTTTTTAAGTGAGACATTTTGTTATCCTAACACATTAGATATTCTAACACACACAAATATAGGAGACCAAGAAAGTAGATAACTTGTAAACCATTACCTGAAGGCCTTCAATAGCCAATCGCAGCATGCTGGGTGTAAGTTTAGAGGCTTGCTTGAAGGTGAAGTTACTCCAGTCTATGATCAAAACAAACCCATTCACCTGAAGCTCAGGATCTTCAATCATGGCTTCTAAAGACAGTAAGATGGCACGCAAAATATCCACCAGTGTGTACCTATCAGCAACAGACAAGGACCGCATAAATCTGACAATCACTTTTGTATAAACTATAGAAAGTTTTAGCACACTAAAAACTCCTTTCAAAACACCTCAGGAATCATAAGATGATTTTGTTTAAAAAAATATTCTTTGAAGAGGTTTGATTTGCTGCTTTCAGAGAAAATACATGTACTCTATCAAAAAAAAACTAAAATGCTTTTGAAATATTGTTAGCTTCATATTTTATAACAATTTATTTTACCTCTAGGCTTTCCTATGGTTTTCTAAAATTTTATTTCAACTACCCCGAAAATTAGGCATGGTACTTTAAATAGCTTAAGAATGTTCTCAGTAGTACTGACATTTCATATCCATATATCTGAAAATTTTGAGAATGAGATTTAAGAAAGCATATCAATAAACAAGAACAGTATATGTAAACAGCTATGGTTATAAGTGCCAACAGGTTTTAATTACTTGTATTGAGTCTGTATCATAAAGATAAAATTAAAAAAAAAAAAGAAGGCAAAGTGTAAAGACAGAAAGAAAGGAAGATCTATGAGAACAAAGGGAAAATTACTTGTCTATTTAAGGCAGGCCATCCAAATTTAGGGGTTAAATCTTTGTCTTTTCTGCCTTGCATCTTAGCACAGTACCTGGCACATTATAAAAATCCAGTAAATGCTCCTTATGTTCCTGTAAAATGGACTAACAAGAATGCAAAGACACTAACTGTAGAGTAAGACACTACCTCAACAAAGGCAGTGGAGGTAGGAATGGAGATAAGAAGCCAAATTTGATATTTCAGAAGAAACTTGTTAAAATTTGACATTTAATTAGATGTCGGGACTAAGATTAAGGAAAGAGTATAAGATGACATACAGACTCTATCTTCAGAGCCTGAATAAATGGTAAAATCTTTAATCAAAATCAATAATGCAAAAAAAGAGGATATAGTTGGGGATGGCTGGAAATGTAGCTTGTAATAGAACCCATTATATTTGAGAAACATGTAGTAAACCCAGTTAATATCAGTTAAACATCTGAAAAAGTAGATCCGAAACTCAAGAGAGAGCTCAAGGTTAAACATTCTGGAATCAAAAGCGTACTGATCCTAAATTCAAGGAAGTGAAGGAGTTAATGCAATCAGAGCTGAGAGAAAAATGAAATAATTATTCTAAGAGAATTCCAGTATTTTAAGAGGAATCGGCAAATTAATGTAATACATTAACCATTTCAATTTTTGAGTGCCCTGCACTTCGAGTTGTTTTCTCCTCAGACACTCAGATGGAGATGTTCAGAAAAAGCTAAAGAAAAAAATCCTGATTGATCTCAGGAAGAGATGGGATGAGGAAGATGGTAGATTAGGAATAGAAAGCGCTGGCATTTAGTGGAAGCGATGGGCTCCCCAGGAAGACACTGTAAGACAGTGAGTACATATGAAGGAATAGTTCCATTTTTACTTCTAAAAACATTTGGATGTGAATGGAGAGAGCATAATAGTTCAGGAAAAAAAAGGAATAATTATCAGTGAAACTTCAGGTGACTTCTCACTTTCCCTGAGCCTCATTTCCTTATCTGTAAAATCAGTACAATGGTATGGAATAAAATCACTCTTGGATCCCGGCATTAACCAAGCATACTGCATGGTATCAAAAGACTTCTACATGGAATCTCTTCCCTGTCCCTCAATAGCTGTGTAGCCCTGGTCATGTCACTGATTTATAATTCTGAGGTTCAGTTCTCTTACATGAGAAAATGGAAATATCTATGCTCATCTTACTATATCTCACTGGCAGTGGTAGCGGGTGGGCGATAGCAGGCAGGTAAGGAAGTGAAAGACATGACTGATTTGGGTGAAAGCATTCACACAATGCTAGGTATACAGCAGATATAGTACATGTTGGTTGGAATACACGCATAGCATAATTGTGTTGTAATGGTAACCACAGACATAGTGTACTAGGCAGGGTATCATAAGAACTGAAGAATATTTGTTTTTATCTTCTACTAAAAACCTAAATGATGATCTTTAGATAACTTATTATTGTTGTAAAAGGCAAGAGTCAAGGAGTTATTTTTAAATCTCTGGATAGTATACACACTATTATAGTCCTAAGGAGATGACATCCTAAACTATTTCCTGAACACATAAAAAAATAAAACTTTTTGTAGAACTCTAGTACTTGTTTGTCTTTAAATCTATGAAATACGTATGGCTGACTACCTTTATCTGTCACTTCATAGTTGGCCTATTTCCTTTTTTTGAAAAATAGCCTAACAGTATTATGACCAAAAGCCTATAAACCTACACAAACTGGAAAGTTGGAGCAAGAAAGTTATATTTCTAGTTAAAATGTAAACCCTCCTCTTTAAAAACATCCATGTAAATTCTGAAGTGTATAATAATATCATGGTAAAGAAAATTAAAAATTAGAGAAGTCAACTCAGAACTTTTCCCTCGCTATGGTTATTCTTGTTACCTATAATAATACCAAATGGCATATATGCCAAAATAGCTTGAATCTTGAAATCAGCTTTGGAAGAACAATGCATTGTACGTAGTAAGAATAAATCATGGCTGAAAACAAGAGGCAAATTGTTTTAGGTAACACATTTTAAGTACAGTTTTATAAAACTGGGTCCAAATCAAGAAAAAAATTATATATATATATACATATATGTATATACATATTACTATTCCAAAGAAACTAAAATATGGCAAATCTCAGGATCAGCAGGTTTGCAAGGTTTTCAAGAGTAAATCTAATCAAGTTTTAAAATGTAATGTCTTGCCCCGAAAAAGAAAATTAAATGATCTTTATATAAATCATATTAATGTATAAGTTTAAGAAAAGAAACATAAAAGCATCCTAGCTAACTGCATTCAAAGAGCAGGTCAAAACCACTCTTGACACTCCAGTCCTTGGTTGTCAAACATGTCACATTACTACCATTAGCAGCTCAGCGGGCTATTCCTAAGCAGAGCGTTATTAAACGAGATCTTGCCAAAGTCTGTAAAATATCTTCCAAAGAAATGGAGCATTTTATGAATTTTCTCTCTTCGGGAATCCTAACATCATTATTCTCTTTGAAATTATTTTTAACTGTTACAATTTATAAATTGTCAGTATTATAAATATTCCATATGTTCATGTTTGGGGTTTCTACCCCAATTGTAGGAGCTCCACTGTCGCTATTTTCCCCTCATATGTTGGAAAAAAGCCATAAATAATGAACTAGCACATTAATGCAGCTGTTGACTCCTGACTGCGCTTCCCAAAATAGCATTAAGTAAAGCCTGTATCTGAAATCAACTTGGAGAGGATGATGTGCAGCATACAGTAAGGTGAAATAATGACATCGGTAAACGATTTTACAACTGGGATACCAGCCCATGTAGACCATTGTTCTTGAGGAGATCAAAGCTGCAATAATATGTAAAAAAACTAGATGGAGAAGACTTTGACTCCCTTGTCTCCTATTTACTAGAGCAGAGAAGCTTCTCCTGCCTCTGGCCATGCAAGGTTTGGGGTGGCTAGCTGGCCTGTGCTTCTCTCTTGAGGTTCACAGCATTTCATCCTCTACCACAGCTTACAATCAGTGCAAAGAGCAACCTAAATCACAAAGAGGTCATTCTCTTCCCACTCTCCACCCCTTTCTTTCAGCTTGACAGGGAAAAACTGGCATCTTAGCATCACATTGAATAGCATGACAACCAAGCAATTTCCCTTTGCCACTAAATCAATCAACCATTGTTAAATTCTTCATTAAGGCTGCTCCCGCCCCTCAGTTTTCATTAAGCCAGGTCTGAAGCACTTCCTGTTAGAAAGGCGCTAGGGTAGAGACAATGAGAAGAATTACCTTTATTAATGCCTTGAGGTATCATTAGTGCTGAAGGTGATGAACCCATCTGCATGTATTATATTACTGAAGGGTAATCATAATAATACCTCTATCTGTGTTATTGGTTAAAATTTCCAAAGGAATTTAAAATGCATTTTCTTAATCTCATAACAAGCTCAAAGTCTCAGTGCTGGTTTTGTTTCTATTATTTTGGAGATGAGGAGACAGATGATGTCTCAGAGAAATTTAGAGATGAAGACACAAGGTCTCAGAGAATTTAAAGTTTCCAGAACCACCATGAGAAGCTGGTCTTTCAAACACTAGTTTTCTCCACTGCCTATGGTATCTGATACCTAGAACAGAGTTTGATGAATAGCTATTCTGTTTTTCCATGTCTCAGTGGCATAATGTCAGAAGATAGATCAGGAAGTCAATACCGACATGGCACCATGCCAAGTACCAAAGCACGTTCCAGCCTGGCCCTAGCACAGGTTTTAGTAGAGGAAAAGCAACAAGACATTCATAAGATTTGAGACAGGAAGAGGCTAAGTCTACAAAGCCTGGAGAAAATATGAATTCCGAAATATTCATGTGTCTGGTTTGTATCACTAAGCACAGATTATCTGTCTGAGCCTTGCTTTAACTTTACTGTTATGGGAATGCAGGTGAGTGAGAACAAGAATCTTTGGAAATGAAACATCTAGAGGAAAAATGTCTTTCCTTGGGGGGAAAAAATAACTTTTTTTGTGCACCTACTGCCACCAAAATAAAATAAAATAAAACAAAACAGAATTGTGCTAGAAAAATACAAACACATCAGAAAAGCAACTCTTCTTTTCAAGGCAGACTAATCTAAGCAGGTGCCTGCTTAATATAGTCTTTGCCTTCAGGATATTTGTTCGAGCAACTTAACTTTCTGTTCCTAATTGTATTCTGATATTCCATCAAGACTTTCTAAACCGTTGATTATTTTTTTTTAATTATCAGAGCTTGCTTTTTTGATATAATTATATTTAATTGTTTTTTTTTCTAGATTTATGTTGTTGTTTATACACACAAAAAAAGTTTGACCAATTCACTGGTTTTGGGTGAAATACTTAACTGCTCTCTGCCTCAGTTTCCTCATCTGCAAAATATAGTATTAACAGGACTTATCTTGCATGATTGTAA